ATCGAGCATTTGATATGTTAAAGACTTAGTGTTTCGTTTTCGTTTTTCAACGTGATAAACAATCTATAAAGGTATTTCCACTTCTCATTTTGGATGATATCACATAAAAGTTATTTATTTTCATAACTCTAATAACTCCGCCTGGAGTCCCTCCGGGGGCTACTGCCGGTCCCAAGCCCGGATAAAGGAGGAGGGTTGGGCATGGGGTTAGCGTCCCCATCCCGTAGAAAACTAACTCGCTAAAAAATGCTAGCCGGAAAAAATTATTCAAACCTTTTAAACTCTGCCCTGGGAGTCAGAAGATCTTCATTTAGAAGAATTATGACGCCTCATGATGAAAGCCGAATCCCTTCGGAAGTTACGAGGCCGATGTCCCTTCTGACAACCAGAGCGACCATTTATTTAGGTACATGGGATGTTCGTACAATGTGGGACACCGGAAGAGCCTTCCAGATTGCTGCAGAAATGAAAAGATACAACCTAGAGTTACTTGGGATCAGTGAAACACATTGGACACAAGTTGGACAACAACGACTAACTACAGGAGAGCTCCTGTTATACTCCGGTCATGAAGAAGAAAATGCACCACATACACAAGGAGTTGCATTGATGCTGTCTAAACAAGCACAAAATGCGCTTATAGGATGGGTATCTCATGGACCAAGGATCATCAAAGCCTCCTTCAAAACAAAGAAAGAGGGCATTTCAATGAACATCATCCAATGCTATGCGCCTACCAACGACTACAATGAAGACGCTAAAGATCAATTCTACAATAGGCTGCAGTCAATAGTCGAGAAGTGCACAACAAAGGACCTGACCATTCTGATGGGAGATTTCAACGCCAAGGTTGGAACGGACAACACTGGATATGAAGACATCATGGGACGACACGGACTGGGAGAAAGAAACGAAAATGGTGAGATATTTGCAAATCTATGTGTCCTCAATAAGCTGGTCATAGGCGGCACCATATTCCCACATAAACGCATACACAAAACCACATGGACTTCACCGGATCACTCTACAAAAAACCAAATCGACCATATTTGCATCAAAAAAACGTTCAGGAGGACTATAGAGGACGTGAGAACCAAGAGAGGAGCTGATATAGCATCAGATCATCACTTACTGGTCGCCAAGATGAAATTGAAACTCAAGAAGCACTGGACAACGGGGCGGACAATATCACAAAAGTTAAATACGGCCTTTCTCCAGGATACTAACAAACTCAACAAATTCAAGATAGAACTCAGCAACAAGTTCCAGGCCTTTCATGATCTACTCAATGGAGAAGGAACTACTGTGGAGAGCAACTGGAAGGGGATCAAAGAGGCAATCACTTCAACATGTTATGAGGTTCTAAGCCACAAAAAGCACCATCACAAGGAATGGATCACTGTTGGTACACTGGATAAGATTCAAGAAAGGAGGAACAAGAAAGCAGCGATCAATACCAGCCGAACAAGAGCAGAAAAAGCCAAGGCACAAGCTGAATACACGGAAATAAACAAACAAGTGAAGAGGAGCATCAGAACCGACAAACGTAAATATGTGGAAGATTTAGCAACGACGGCGGAAAAGGCTGCAAGAGAAGGAAACATGAGACAACTGTATGACACAACAAAGAAACCCTCTGGAAATCACCGTAAACCAGAACGACCAGTGAAATGCAAGGAAGGCAAGGTAATCACCAACATTGAAGAGCAACAAAACAGATGGGTGGAACACTTCAAGGAACTCTTGAATCAGCCAGCCCCACTGAACCCACCCAACATCAAAGCAGCACCCACGGACCTCCCAATCAATGTTGGCCCACCAACAATTGAAGAAATCAGCATGGCCATCAGACAAATCAAGAGTGGCAAAGCAGCAGGACCGGACAACATCCCAGCAGAGGCACTAAAAGCAGACGTAGTGGCAACTGCAAGGATACTCCACATTCTCTTCAATAAGATTTGGGATGAAGAACAAGTACCAAAAGACTGGAAAGAAGGACTTCTGATCAAAATGCCGAAGAAAGGCGATCTCAGCAACTGTGATAACTACAGGGGCATCACTCTTCTCTCAATACCGGGAAAAGTCTTCACAGGGTATTGTTAAACAGGATGAACGACTGCGTAGACGCCCAGCTTTGTGACCAACAGGCAGGATTCCGTAAGGATAGATCGTGTACAGACCAAATCGCAACTCTACGGATCATTGTGGAACAATCAATTGAATGGAATTCATCACTCTACATCAACTTCATTGACTACGAAAAGGCATTTGATAGCGTGGACAGAACAACACTATGGGAACTTCTTCGACACTACGTCGTGCCTCAGAAGATAGTCAATATCATACAGAACTCATATGATGGATTACGCTGCAAAATCGTGCATGGAGGACAGTTGACAAAGTCGTTCAAAGTGAAGACCGGTGTTAGGCAAGGTTGCTTACTCTCACCCTTTCTCTTTCTCCTGGTGATCGACTGGATCATGAAGACGTCAACGTCTGAAGGAAAGCGCGGGATACAATGGACATCTAAGATGCAGTTGAATGATCTAGACTTCGCAGACGATCTGGCCCTTCTATCCCAAACGCAACAACAGATGCAGGAGAAGACAAACAGTGTGGCAGCAACCTCAGCAGCAATAGGTCTCAATATACACAAAGGGAAAAGCAGGATTCTCCGATACTACACAGAATGCACCAATCCAATCACAATTGACGGAGAAGATTTGGAAGATGTAAAAACCTTTACGTATTTGGGCAGCATCATTGATGAACAGGGTGGATCTGATGCAGATGTGAAGGCGCGGATCGGCAAAGCAAGAGCAGCATATTTACAACTGAGGAACATCTGGAACTCAAATCAGCTGTCAACCAACACCAAGGTCAGGATTTTCAATACAAATGTCAAGACAGTTCTACTGTATGGGGCAGAAACCTGGAGAACTACAAAAGCCATCATCCAGAAGATACAGGTGTTTATTAACAGTTGTCTACGCAAAATACTTCAGATCCATTGGCCGGACACTATTAGCAACAACGTACTGTGGGAGAGAACAAACCAGATCCCAGTGGAGGAAGAAATCAGGAAGAAGCGCTGGAAGTGGATAGAACACACATTGAGGGAAGCACCCAACTGCGTCACAAGTCCTCACATGGAATCCTGAAGGTCAAAGGAAAAGAGGAAGACCAAAGAACACATTACGCCGAGAAATGGAGATAGACATGAGAAAAATGAACAAGAATTGGATGGAACTAGAAAAGAAGGCCCAGGACAGAGTGGGTTGGAGAATGCTGGTCAGCGGCCTATGCTCCATTGGGAGTAACAGGCGTAAGTAAGTAAGTAAGTAATAATAGATTCAAATTAATTCATCTCTGTACTGTACTTTTAACACTTTTTATGTATGATTTCTTTTATTCTTCTCAAATGTTATTATTCCTGCTCAAATTTCAAGAGTAAAAGAAGAGTTTCTAGAAGTAGGAGATCGTTAGGAAAACAGTATTTAAGTGTTACGGTACAAGGGAAGTAATAATAATTGGTTGAACTTAATTAGAAATAAGATAGCAAGTTATACCAGATAAATCATAAACATCTTTAAGTTGAACCAATAATTTCTCTATGATTTACGAAGAACTGTACAACAAATTCGATTCACATGGAATTTCGTTGAATATTGATTACTTAAATCTTTTTGTTTACTGTGTATTTTTACCAATTACGTCTGTTGCTATGTTATATTATGTTTGGGTAATATGCGTTAAAATGACATTTTCATGAAGGTGTGTTGGGTTCTCGTGACTGCTATTCCTAAGTCCTTTCACACATACTAATTGTTTTTATTGGAGATTACAATCGCTATGTGCTATAATGATCATAGTTCGTATTTAAGGTTTTTAAAATCTGTATATGACCAGTTTTTTTGTCAGATTTATCAATTGGAGTTAGTTTTTGGTTCTATGACTTTGAATTGATTGATTTCAGAGTTTAGAAAGTAAATAAAAATATTCACTTCTACTTGGAGTGTGGGCAGATGATGTTGTCCAGGGTGGTATTGAATGCCTAATGATTAAATAATCACCAAAAGTTGAAATTTGTTCCTTTCGTTTGTTTTATTTACTTTGGATAAAATTTACAAAACACTCATAAACTGTCGTCTTCAATATTATTAAATTGAAGATTAGTCCAAGATGTAGTGATAATGAAGTATTCAATGATCTGTTTTGATCAAACGGAAAATAGAAAATATTGTATTATGTTCACTGGTCATGGTATAGTATTATTTAAGCTAAACTCGATGATGGATAATGTGAATTGGTGATTACCGGTCTGGTGATTAACTGATAACAACATTACTATTAGGCAAGAGGATATCCTAGGCTAGACCTCATAAAGAATGAGAAGCATAGACGGCAGAAGTTCTTGCTCTAGAGCAGTTGCTATTCATTTAAGGAGTTTTTCCTGCTTTGTTTAAATTGTGTGAAAATATCTTCAGAATTCAAATAGCTTCATTAGATATGACAAGTTTTCGTACTTGTTTAAAATAGTTTCATTCAGATAATAATGTACTGAACAGATGTATAATCACTGGACAAGAACGAAACTCTTGTTAGCTGGCTAAGTTACATAAAATTAATGTTATAGCATACTTATATGTTTTATTCAGTACATTGTACACATTCTGTGTATTCGTATGATTAAACGATTTTTTTAAGCATTACTTTTCACTCCCACTATAATATTATCGGTTAGTCCTTTTTACGTTCCCTTTTGAAATGATAGGCTTATTTTCCTTTATAAGGTCATATAGCTGTGAGCTGATTGGCTTGCTGTCAAGGTCACAAGAAGGTTAGTTGTTGGTGCTTGATGAATATTGGCATATTTTCTATTATCATTGTTTATGTGACATTGATAAATCAAAACCTTTCGAAGGAAGAAAAGGTTTTAATTAGCAAATGAACAAAGTAGGTAAGCTGAAAAACCTTTTACATTTAATTCAGTATACATTGTAAAACTATAATTACGTAACATATTATTATGGATAATTACACTGTTAAATTAGCCATTATTTTGATAAAGAAAACAAAACAATCGACTTACATAATGTAAATTTTGTTTAGTTATACGAAGAAATAATTTAAGCTTGTAAAAGTATTCTTCGTCAATTAGTTAGTTAGTCAATCAATCAATCAATCAAACCTATCTCGGTAGAACGATGTTTGTAATGATAAACATTCCAATCATGGCTATTAACAGAGTCTGGAAATTCTTATTATTTAATGACTGTCATTCAAATAATAATAATAATAATAACTGATTAATTCAATGCTTTTGTTTTCACAAAAGATTCGAATGATGTATAGTAATTAGTGTTCGAACTCAGTTTACATTTTGAAAATAATATTATTCCTGGAACTTCATTCAATTTGACATTGATACTTTTAAATAACAATTGAAGATCTTACCATTTACTACGTTTACACTTCGTAAATATTGACTTTATTATCAGAATAAGAGATTTAAATGAAATGATTATTATGAAACTTAGACTTTATTGTATTTTTTGAGTTGCAGTGTTAGATCTTTGATAAAATGATAAAAGTCCATTGTTAATAATTAACTTGCATCGGTTTATTCTATGTTATTTAGTTTGAAACCGGGTTGATAGAAAACCATTTATTTATTATTCAGCCATAACTTATGCCCACATTAGTATTAAAAATGATGTTATTTATGATTAATATCAGATGGGTTTTGTGGATATTATAGTAATTTCAATGGTTAAGATCATCAGTCATTTGAAGCTAGACCACCATGGAAAACCTGGAAGCACTGGACTGCCGTTTCGTCCTATTGTGGGACTCCACAGCAGTGCGCATCCACGACCCCGCCTCCCGCGAGATTCAAACCCAGGACCTACTGGTTTCGCGCGCGAGCACCTAACCACTAGACCATCGAACCGGCATCCAATGGTGTTAATGTCTAACTTCAACTAATCCACGAAATTGAGCAACACATCCACCATTGTCATCAGTGAGCAGATATCTCACAACAGACCTGGTTGAACTCCACTGGCCACTACTTCTCACTAGAGTCTCACAACAGAACGAAACGGCCGTCCACTGCTTCCAGGTTTTCCATAGTGGTCTAGCTTCAATTGACTCATGATCTTAACCATTGAAATTATTTATAATTGTTTTTTTTAAATATTACAGTCAAACTAATTAAGTGATGGATATTCTTGTGTAGAAAGAAATCTATTGTTAATTCAAGTTTATTAATGACAAACAATCGAGTTTTATTACAGCCTATTTTGAGAATCCACGCTGACGTATATGACAGACAGTAGAGGGGATACGACTGATAATTGAACTCATTAGTTTAAATGGAAAAAGATTTTGTAAATTAGGGTTTAACTCAAATAGTTTTACCTGTATTCGGAATGCCTGACTATTTGTTTAGTTTCCTGGGTTAACAATGGATTGGAATAACAACAGTGTGTCGTTAACAATTACAGAAAAATAACTAGAACTCAGAAATTGAAATCTGTACACAGGAAGCAGTAAAAAAGAACAAGTGTAGGTAAAATCATAAGTTTTTGTATATCTAAAGAAGCTACAGACTACATAGAGATGAACTTGAATTTTATCTTGATTCAATATAGGGAATATATCGAAGAACACCTGGAGATCCTTGACTCTGAGTGTGACTTTTTGTGGGATCTTACATATAAACACTTCTACTAGTATTCTACATTGGCACTATTGTTTGATCTAGAAATGAAATTTGAAATGATTGACCAAAATTGTATACTTCAATGTTGAATATTGAGAGTAGTACCTAAAAGAGTGATCATGTTCCATACAAAACACTGACTTTGGTATTTTTAATTACCCGAATCTTATTCTGAAGTTTCATATAGTTTATATGTACGTATGCCTGATAGTCCTTAGCACTCATATTCTTTGATTATTGTTTACATTTTGGATGAAAAACATCTAGAAATCCTGGTGAACTATGTAATTATTTCCATAAAGTGACTTATCCAATATCTTAAAATGGTTAGATAGATCCAAAGAATCATAATAAATAATGGTACATTCTTTAAACTATATCACTTATGATTCTTATTTTGTGATGAGATCACACTCAACTTTTTTCATATTTCAGAACTTACCAGTCAAACACTTTTTCACACTGTTAGTTCCTTCACTTATCAAACTGTTTCATGTACACTGAGATGTGGACATTTATTTATTGTCTGTGAAGCATATCTTGTCCATGATTAATTAACAAGACAAGTAATGAAAATGAAAGCTTAAGCATCTTGTTCGTAATATTGTTCAGAGTTCAAGAAAACTTAATACAAATGGGGAATCGGTGAATACAGATAAAAATCAATAATCTTGAGAACTGAATGCTAGATGGTAGGAAGTTATAGACAGGAAACCCTGGAGCTAGCTTTTGTGTTGGTTAGTAGCAGTTAGTAAGGTGTACCTTCAATCTTGAGTTAGTAAATTCTCTATATGATATTCTAAATTATAATTAGTAGAACCAGGGTTTTCTGCCGACTATCTCCATCCACCTAACATCTAAGAACAGTACACACGATATAGAATCACATAATATATGGCCGCATTACAATTTGATAGGTAGAATTCAGTCAAGATCAAATTACTAAACAAGCATAACGTGGTCTCTACTCACTAGTTAATTACAAGAACCATACTATGGCAACAACAATCAACTGATCTAGATCAATAAGACTGTCAATACATATCTCTTAAACTTCACTGAAATATTTTAATAACGATTTCAAACATCATAATCATTCCAACATGCAGGTATATATAAATATCCTTATTTTAATTCGATGTTATTACGACATATTATTTGCTTCTTTAATATTTAGTGCAATTCATGAAGTCATTACCTGGTCTGATATTAATATTGGCATTAGTAACTGTGCTAGGTGCATTGTTATTTCAAAAAATTGAAGGTCCATATGAAGAGCGATCCAGGACACACGTATCTAAGGTGAGGTTTATTATAATAATGATATGTATGATTTTTGGATAAATGGGGATACTGAAATATTTGTGGTTTCTAACACAACGGCTACAATGAATTCCTTCCTGAGTTATAAACAGTGAATATTGACTCGGAGAAGTCTCGAATGCATGATGGATTATGTAGGTCATGTGTGACATTGTTGGGTGAGTGATGCACCATGTAAATATGCCTGTACATAAAAAATGATCGTCTACGAGTACCTGGTCAGTAATTAAATCACCAAGCTAGATCATCTTCTCTACTCTTATAAATCAGTTATCCTATGATTTCGTTTTGTTCTTGGAATGTAAAGAGGTCATGCGGAGATGATAAAAAAATGTGGAACATCAAGGTTACTGAAAATCTCTAACTTTGAAGGTTTCCACGAATGATTCGAATGGTGAAAATTGTGGTAAGACAAGTGTATTGCTACAATTAGTGGGTTATTTAAAGGACGATAAAATTATTTATTGGATAAACTACGTATATTAATTACGTCGATTCTTGTAATATGTATTTAAGCTTCATCAACATTCTCATTTCTATATAGTTTAGTGTTTAGGTTTTTCTATTATTTAATTGTAGATAACTTGGCTAGTAATCTTAGTTAATTGTTATGATAAACTTCGAAAGTATAAATGAGTTTAGAAAGTTTTTTAAATTCAATTTGGTATATTATTGGCTCAATATATTCTAAGCAAGACAGTCGGATCATAAATTAACTTATTGAAGTATTTATTTGAGAAATGGAAAGGTTCACAGTTTCTACTTCAGTTCAATGTAACTTAAGGTTTGATCATGGACCTATTTAATAGAATCAACTAAATTTTCATAAATCATGCAACAGAAGATGGAGGGAAAGTGCTAAATCAAATAGTTGTGTAGCATGAATACTTTTCGAAATGTGTATAATGATGGTAAGGTAGTAAAACGGTGAAACTTTGAGTTCGTAGTATCAATAAACCATGTCTATATGACAGGACGCCCAAGACCCTATACAAAATAAGACTCAGAACCCTAAGATTTAGTTTTCAGTCGAACTTTACACATGAAAAATAACTCTTAAGATATTTTTGATGATGTTAAGACTAAGTGAGTATTTAGAGGAGAAAAACGAAACACTGGGTAGCTTTTTGACAAACTAAAAAGGATTTCAGTCATCTAGGTATCGTTATAATTAAAACTAGCCTTACAGTCTTTCACAAAGGATTAACTTTATTTAGAAAACTAATTCAGACTAGGAGATGAAGAACAGATGTTTCGCCCTGGTCAGAGACTCCTCAGCTTCCCCAGTCACAGCCTCTTCGGGTCGTGTAGCAAGTAATTAGTCTTCAGACCAAAGAGTTAGTTCGTTATGTTTCATGGTTATAAAAATAAGTTACTTTGCAAATTTTAAGGAATTCTTCTATGAACTACTCGGACAAAATTACTGGAAAGTTAGTCACCTGTATTTTGATGAAGATGGTGAAAAGATTATGTGAATAGGGGATTAATTATCAAGGTATCATCTAATGAGATAAATTTGAAAAGTTTATCAATCTGTTTTCAACTAAAATATCAATATTCAGGGAAAATTTACAATTCTCTTGTTATCAAAATATCACGATCAATTTATTACATAAACAACTAATAACTACTATTTTCAACGATTTCTTAGCTCATTATATAACTTCATCACCCTTCACGGTCCTTTAGGAGTAGCCATCTTCATTTCAAAGGGGGTTAGTGCTCATTATTTGAATATTCCCAGCATGTATCTAGATAACACAATTAGTTGATCGTTATAAATTCGATTAGTTAAAATGTGATTGGTGGTTTTATTATTTTTGTGTTTACTAATAAATCAATATTTTAATTAAACTTTCCATTGGATATTGGATTTAACCTTAGATGTTTTTAGGCTAGTTACACATAACGTTGGACCAAAATAAAAAAATTCGTTTGTCATACCTCGTAAGATAAATTCATTTGGTATTGTTTATTTGAATTTTCCGATCTATGCCTAGGACAGCAGTTGATCAGTCTGTTATTGGAATATGTACATCCTGTACGGATTGCCTCGATATTGCCTTAATTCACAAGTAGTATAAGCAAAGATGGATGGTGGTTAGCAATGGAATACGAGACGCGCGTTTCGTCCTATTTGAAACTCGTCAGCTGGATGTGCGTGTATCCCAAAGTTGATGTTCACTCCGGGAATCGAACCCAGTACCTTCGTTTCACACGATATTGCGTTACCCAACTAGCTGATCAATTTCAGTCCTAAACATCATTGGGAAGATTCAAACAAACAATACCGAATAAATTTGAACGCCACTCTATTGTACAAGCAAATGACCGTCAGAACTCAGTAACCAAGTGGATAACGCGATGACGTTTGAAGCGAATGGTACTGGGTCCAAGTCCCAGAGTGGACATCAATTCTGGGACGCGGGTACGTCCATCTGATGAGTCTCAAACAGGACGAAACGCTTGTCCTGTATTCCACTACTAGCTACCATCCATCTATGGTGCTTAAAATGGGTTGTTTTTATTGTATATTGTTTCTATAAATATATTGGATAGGAAAAGTCGTAATCAGAATTATTTCGAACAATTTAAGGTGTTTTAAAATACATCCATTAGAGTTGTATATCATAAAGAATTAAAATATACAATATCATTTTATTAGAAGCTTCTTATTTAGACATAATTTGAGCATTTAAAATCCAAAATCTTATCCATTCATACAAGTTTTTCATTAAATGAATATTGTACTGATGGTTTCCACTGTTAGGTTTACACAAATAAAAACAATAATTTGAGTAGAATCGCATAGGTTCTCACCAACTGCTTGAAATGAGTAATATTTATACATCAAAAATTAAAACGAAACATGAGATCAACATGTAGAAATTAAATTAATCCAAGATTAACTTTAAAAAAGAGCATCAGTACAATGTAGAAGAGCTCCAGTTGTTTTAATTAGACGGCGCACTGCTGAAGAGTTCAATAGTGGGACGAAACGGCCATCCAGTGATTCCAGGTTTTCCACGGTGGTTTAGCTTTAATCGACTCATGAATTCAACTATTAAATTCTAAAGAAGTCATTTGATTATCTATTGTTAAATGTTCATCAACATGCAAGAATTACATGAAATACTTATCGTGCTCAATGATCTTTAGAAATCTGTGATCGTATTGATGGAAGATTAATTTAACCAAATAAGTTGATCAATATGTAAAATATTTACGGAGCATAGTCATTAAAAAAATTTAGGTTTATAATAATAATCTTAATGGTGAGATGGTGGAGAAGATTTGTAGCTCAGGCGGATGATTTTGATGGAGTTTTGTTCTCTGAGCTGGATGGTTTGGTCGTGGGGCTTTCATCGTTCTTCTGAACGACATCATCAGCACAAACTTCAGGTAGAGGTGAAGTGTTCGAATTTTTCCACATATAGTTCAAAGCTTGTCCTGTACACCTCAATGTTGACTGGTTCTTGTTGATCATAAACCTGTCATTGTTTACTTCTTTGTTTTGGTTGTATCTCCCATTAGTTTGGTTTAAATAATAAATAATAGTTATAGAAGATTTGTATAGTCCTGAACTAATTCATGTCAAGGAAATTGTGTATTACTAGATATTTAGTTGGTCTCATCCCATTCTAGTACCCTTATTAACCCAGTCATCAAACTGTTCAATGATTTAATCCCAAACCATTAGAATTTTTCAGTAATCAAGTTTATTACATCTGTCGTCAATATTTGAAATGATAAACGTCGATGATTATGTAACATGTCAAGTATTCGACTTCATTGTGATTTCTACTGTATTGAACGAGAACGCAAGTGGGAGAAGTCCAATATGTTTGAAGACAGCCTTACAGATCATCTTACCAAACTCTGAGAACCATATAGTAAATACTTAATTTGCAAAATGTTAATCAATTGTTTCAAATTTAACTGTTCCTTTTGCAAATATCAGTCAATCGTCTCCGATTTCATTGTTCCTAAATTTTAATACCAGTTGCTTTCTGTTCCTGTTCTATCCTTCTCTACCTTCTACTACCAGACATTCTAATCCTGACTATTGTTATATGCTACTCATGTCGATATAAGTGACACACCACACTATAACTAATTAATTTAAAAAATATGTATAAACCCTTCTTATTATCACTCCAGATAGTTGTTCTTTAGATTAGACAAAAGAGAATTGAACTTATCATTCATCTTTAAACTACAGTGATTATTAAGTTTAATCTTTAAAAAAAGCCAGTGTTTAATATGATTACTATCATTACTGTTATTTTGAAAAATGTTTTTTTATTTATATTATCATCTAATTATGTTTATAAAACAATCTTCCTCTTTTTTCTTTTCTTTTAAGACAAGGCAAAAAATTTTTGTCCTAGCTCAACAGTTAGCTAAAAAAGGTAGTAATGCTGATTGGTCAAAATTAGTTGCTCAAGTGGATAGATATCGTGAGAAATTATATGAAGCATGGTTATGTGGTACAGATGAATTAACTATAGATATACCGACAAAATGGAATCTTTGGGGTAGTATCTATTATTGTTTCACATTATTTACAACTATTGGTAAGTATAGTTTATAAAGTTTTATCTGTGTGAAACTTGACTAAAATACTTCAGTGAAGACGACATTAACTATGATAATAGATGATACGGGTTCGAGTCATGTAGGGAAGAGGGTTAATTATGCGCCTTGTTAGTGAATGTTAACTAGCATGAAACCCCAGTTGAAGGTTTCTTAACAAGTATTTTCAGTTACCTAAGATTCTCTGAGACCGCTTTTTGTCCTTTTAATACTATTGGTTGTTTTGTATTTCCTCTTAAAAACATTGATTTGAATAAGAAGACACAAGCCTCAATTAAATTTAGATCGAAATTTGTTATATCACTAACATAATACCTTTTTAAATTAATTCGAAAAGTGAAAAGATGGAATTACAATACGGTCAGCATAATTTACAGTACTAAAACACCGAAGTTTTGAAGGTTATTTTTCTTTATGGGTTGAAATCAGATAACAGATAGTTGAAAATCTGGGAGTACTGAACAGCTACTTCGTCGTGGTATGGGACTCTTATACACTGCTAACCAAAAATCTGGCCAGGGATCGAATCTAGGACCTTCGGTTCTCATTTTGACTGCGTAACACTCAGACCAGTAAGTTAGTATTTAACTACCAGGATATGACCCGGAAATCATCTGATGATATTTTGGTGTGGGCTACTTATATCCACACAGGTAGTATATAACGGTGGTCATACATAGAATGTATTTCAGTAGAAGGTCGATGAGGAAAGAACGGGAACGGAACGCAGTTGGTATGAAAACGCATGAGCAATGAAATCTGAGACAATGGATTGATGTTTGCGACAGGAACAGTCAAGTCTGAGATGATGGATTGATATTTTGCAAATTAACGATTTACTATATGGTTCTCAGATTTTATTGAGATGCTCTGTACTTTTGTACTCAAATAAATTCGATTGTCACCATTCGTGTTTTTGTTCACTACAATATCAGTTAATAATTGCTTTACTTGTCACTTGGTTAAACTTTAACAATTACATCTCATTAGATCCTAAAGTATCCCTCTTAAAGCCAGCACATTATTAGAAGGGTCATGGATATTGGTTTCGTTTTCAGCATGATATATCTTTAGTTGTGATGGCCAAGACATATTATGAGATGTAACGAAATATCCATCATAACAACAAGTTACACCCATTATTATATAGATAATTTCGTTTCCAATTGGCGTGATTAATGAACATCGCTTCTGAATACATTATATGAGGTTGAGTTTATATCCAGATTGAAATTATTTGATTTTTCGACCATAAAGAAATGTTCTCTTCCTAATTACACTAGATAAATACAGAAAACTTGTAGATACATTTCAAGTCAAAAATAAATGTAGTTTTGATCTTAAACATCTTTCTAGGTTGGTAAATTTTGAATTATTTTAACAGACGATCACATATGTTTAGCTGTTAATTGCACAATATATATGAATATCATCAGTGTAGTTTAGTATTTTAATGAATTAACATTTTAAGAATTAGCTTAAGAAATATTAAAAACTTGATAGGACTGAACTACTGGTTCATATTCTAGATTGAACTCATCACTCTTCATCATTATCCATTCATAATTTTGTATTGAATTCAACTTTCACGAAAAGTGAAACATCGTCAATTTGCTAAGTCAAAGTCAAATAATCAATCTATTACTTAGGAAATTAATGTAATTCTAAGCAAGTTTATCTAATAAGGTACTTCTTCACACTCGAATTAATTACTTTACTATACTATACGTTTCAATTTCATTTACATAGAGATGTATTGAATTACATTCATTCATGTAAGCATAAGTCAATTAGTTCTAATAAACACCGAATATATGATTTTTTTTAAAGAAGGGAAAACAAAGAACAACAAACAAACAACTTAAAAAAGTATTATATGTCAATAGAATAGTTAAAGGGTCAATTGTACTTTTCATGTTTACTGTAAACGAAAGAAAAAGGAAATAAAGCAACTATACAATAAATAGTACAAAATATAAAGGATATAAATCATATACTTTTTCTTATATATTCATAATTATTATTTACTATTAAAGAGGAAGAATGTATTTGTAAACTATCAACGAATGAATATGAAATAAATACGTTTCATTTGGCAATTTGGTCTAAGGTTTTTCAAGGAAATATACTACCGATGTATATAAATCATATGAATCAAAAAGTTTATTATCTTTAACTATGATATTGATCATAATACTTTGACTTTCATGATGTACTTTCCATGTTTTTTTCTTCTGTATTTTTCTATTTTTTTCTTTTATGATTTGTTTTATGATCTACAATATAGTTAAGATTGAAGTTTATGTATATTTGTTACTGGGTATTTTAAATTTATAAAGAATTTCGGCGAAACTCTAATTTATGAACGACCTTTGAACGGATCTTGAATGACCTTGAGAAATATTAGCCAATCAGAAAACAGTTAGTATAGAGTAAAAATGTTATACAAAACCAAGGAAATAAAGTGGATACACTTCTTATACGTAGTTCAAGAACTTGTCAAGATTAAAAAGAGGTTCAGAGGTTCTAAAATCGTAATGCATGCAGTAGAGTAAATCATCCATACGGCTACAGAATAGTCGGCCTCTGGAGCCATGATAAAGTCTTAAAAACTCTTTCAGCCTCGACCACATAGCTTCAGTATTGTTTATGTGCACTCCGGTTGTTGAGTGCACAAAATGCGACTTGTGGATAACGACACAATGCACATAACCAAGCCTATATAGGAGTCTGTAGGCTCTCCAAACATCCGTATATATTGTAGTACCTGGTTGCAGCCAGTGTTACTGGTGCTTTTATTATCCAGTTTGCAGTAATTGTCGTAATTTGTCTTAGAAATTATATATGGGGTTTTCATCACGAACTGACATCAGCTATAATGCCAGAAATTGATTTAGCCAAATGGATGAAAGGCTTTCTCATTAAAATCCGAGATCTATTATCTTATACCTGATTGATTCGTCCATAAATTATAGTCTCGCCGTTTTATTTGTTATAGTCGCTCACTTATCTTGTTTTGTACAAAATTCTCTGTGAACCGATCGTACGTTAGCATTCAGCACTGAATTTAGTGCCGTGACCTTGAAATCTCTAAAACGCCTCTGATTGGCTCGTCCATAAATTAGAATCTCGCCAGAATTTCTTCAACCACATAGGATGTAAAGATTGTTTTTATATAAAGCTTGGAATAAATGAAAATATCAACAGTAGTATGTAATCCCCTTTTACTATGTCTTATTTAAACATAAATTGTATGATGCTAATTGGACATATAACATAAACAGTGTATAATAAGAATTGTATTGATGATCATTAGATTCTTTGGATATAGGTTAGTTGGTTAAAGGTAGTCGACAGGAAATACTGAACTTAAGTTTCATGCTAGTTGGTGCTGGTCATCAAAAAGCCATTGTAATCTTGAGATAGTTGATGCTCGCTGCGGGACTGAGACTGTTGTCACTCAGCTGTACAATCTGAGAGTTTACCGCTAAGCTTTTCGTGTCACCAATATCATGTGTTTTAAAAAAAATAGTTTTTAATGCTGATCAGATTCCATTGGTGAAGTTGCAATGTATCTAATGGTCTAACTGACCTGACATTATGTTAATTATGTTAAGATGAATTTTAGTGTTAAATCAATTAAATCAGATGATAGAAGGCTATTGATTATAATTGTAGTGTTTGTTGATAATGAACAACAAGGTATGCAGTATTATCTGATAAAAGACAATGTTTTCAAACATAGACCGATCAACCGTGTATATGGATACATTTCAATCATAATCCAATAATGAGGTTAATTTGTTCAGTCCACATAAATGATCGATTTTAGTCAATACAAACAAGTGAGTAAATTATTAATAATAACAATCAAATTAGTTATTAGTATGATTTTCCTTTCTATTTAATGGATCATTTATGCTTTACATTAAAAATTTGTTTTGACTGTTATTTAACTCAGGTTATGGTAATGTGTTTCCATCCACTGCTGTTGGTAAACTACTAACTATTCTTTATGGTATGATTGCCATACCATTGTGCAGTTTGCTAATAAGTCGAATATCAGATGTCATTATCAGACTGACTAAAGCAATTTATTATATGACACTTGATCCTTCTGGAGTTCCAGTTGGATTAAGAGAAGCTTATCATAGAATTGATGCAACTTTCGACTTTCGAGTAAGTTTAGAGATTATGATTACAAAAAGTTTTAATGTGTTAAATTTTTGATTGTTAATTTTATTCTTCTTTAGTTCCTACAATAAATATTCTGTGAAAGACTTGTCTTTTAGATTAACTGAAGCTTAGATAAAAATGTCATTTATGTGCAGAATTAAGCGAACGGATGTCCACTGGTGACAAAGTTGATGATCAACATGATCCCTAGAAAATTTGAACTACTACTGAAATAACGGCTTAATTTAATGCAACTGCTGATGAACTCAAATATTGTGTCGGAAGCATCTAGACCCTTTTCGTCTTTCTAGCACCGTTCGACGTAACTCCAGAGATTATATGAGAACTTAACTGTGATCCTGATTTCACTGTCACGTGTAACACGTAGTTCTGACTATATGAAAACGTACTCCAAGTTTATTTGGTGATCATATGGTTCATGGAAGATTCGCACTTCGTTCAGTAGATGGGTCCTACTAAGTCAGACAAATATTGAAACCTGAAATTCATGCAATCTTACATTTTAATTTATATACCATTCCTTAAATTAATTGTTTGATGATGTTATTCAATTTGCGTTACGGAAACTCCATGTATGAGAAAGATTATTTCCTAATCAATCTAAGTGGTTTATATAAATAATCTCAATGACTTTAGCTAGACATTTCAGTGGAAGATCAAGTCACATCACCGATTATAATTTTTGGTTTGGGATCTCGTAGGTTGATCGAAATTATAACGAACATATTAAATCATCTGGACTAAGACCCAAATATCCATTAAATAACACTGATAACAATTTTCAGCAACTAGTTAACCTGTGGCATGACAGTATGCTAGTCCAATTTGAAGTTCAAAACGACTTATAAATATGTACTGTCCAGCAGAAGCAGAAACTTATTGTATCCCCATAAATATGCTCCAAACTGTCGCTGGTTTTTCAACAACAATGTCTACCTTACAAAAACTGAAATTCATCATTAACTTACTTAGGCTTTTTACCCACCGCCAATTTGACTAATGCCTAGTGACCAGTGGTTTCTTATCAATATATTTCATTTACCTACCATAACACTTTATTATCCCCTAATTATTGTTTTTATTGTTTGACCTATATTTTCAACAACAACAAAAAAACTTGTTAACATCTTTGAGAATTAATCAACAATTTATTTATTTAAGGGGACTATGAAAGTAACTTGTAAATACTACTTCATTGTTTTAACAGTCATATAACATAATTCTCTTTTGTCTACAAATATTAACAAAGACCATCAAATGATCGTTTTCCACATGATCAATGATATATATATCCTTCTATAATTAATTCTACCAAATTACAATGTAACAAAATTTATCAGTTTCAGTAGTTCCATAACTAAGATGTTTTTATGACAAAACTAACTAAGGAAGTCACCAATCAAAGCTAAGTCTCAAGTTATCATAAAACAACTGTTTAATAGATAATCTTCAATTATCTAGAGAATACATATTCAAGTATCGTAGTTACGTTTTTTCTCCTCTTAATATATATATGCATGTATTCATGTAAACTGTTTAACTATTGATTTATCTATATTTTCTAACCTAGGTACTTCCTTGCATATTAACATTCGTAATCTATCTAGCATTTGGAGCTGGGATATATTCCTATATAGCTGGACAAAAGGAATTAGAGTGGAGTATTTTGGATTTAATTTATTTCGCATTTATTTCATTATCAACTGTTGGATTTGGAGATTTAGTACCAGAAACTGATGTATTTTTAGCAGTTTTATCAATTATTTACATAATTATTGGTTTAGCAATTACTGGTATTGTATTTGGACGTTTAACTGAAGCATTTGAACATGTTTTATGCGGTCATACTATCGAGTCAATTGAAGAAAATCTCATAAATTCTGAACAAAGTTCTATTCAAGCAACAAAACTTATGAAAAATAGAACAAATGTAACACATTTAAAACAAAATTAACTCATTGAACATTGATTACAAAGTAATAATAAAAAGAAATAACTAAACTGTTATTTCATCAACAGAGGGATGAAATCTGGGGATAAACTGAATTATAAAACCATTATCGATTAAAAATATTTTCTTTGATTCCTATTTGTTGTTTGTAAATGAGAACAAAATCATGTTGCTTACCTTTAGTATGTTGTTATATCTGCTTAATCTCCTTCCTTTAACATTTGAAGGTAGAGAATTAATAAATTTTTTGTAAACTACACAACTTACAGTCTGTTCAGATAACAGACAATGACAACACTCTACTAGTTATCCGAAGCTTACTTAAAAGTGACATATCAATAAAAATACTACTGAAGGAAGAAACTAACAAAGATGTGAGATTTCAATTTATATTGTGAGAACTGATATTATATCATGTTGATATTATTTCACATAGTGAATGGCTAGTCTTATTTGTAGTATTTCATTTAGCATACTACATAGTTACTGTTATTTATATACACATAATTTCCTTTATCATACTGAAGACAGCAAGGATAAAGATTCACACAGAATAGCATAAATTCATTTGATTTTATTTAGTTCTGATCACTTGCTTACAACCTGTGATATTATAAAATCGCAATTACAAAATGGGTTTAAATTACTTACATGAAAGAGTTTAATTGGAAGTTACTTTGAGGACACATTAGTATAGTATAACAAGGGTATAAGTAAGTTTAATAGACTGAATATTGTAAAGATATACCTTATTTGGAAGAACATCCAACAACATTGATAATAACAAAAGTCCAAAGGGCTAGAAGCAAGCGATTACGTAATAAGTAAACGCTGATAATAACTAAAGTGAACAAAGCGCAGTTAAATAAAATAAGATTAGAAATCTCGAAGATAGTAGAAATATAAAGACGTAATGATGTAGTTAGCTGAAGAAAAGAGTTGAAAAAAACTTTAACTTAATACAGGAATATCTGTCACCAAGGCAAAGAAAGATTAACAACTATCTCATTTTGAACACATAAATCAGATTTCTGACGTCTGGCAGCAACGGCTTCAGCAAACTTCAGGGGACTGAAGCTTGGCTGGCGTACGCCGTAGCGATTTCGAGCAGAAGTGCTAATGCGAGTGAGTGAATATAGAGGCGAATAAGAAGTCGAAAGAATTAATAAGATTCAAGCATATATATGAGAAAGCAAATGATTTATCTAGCAATTTAAGTAGCAAAAATTTAAGCTCGAGAAAAGGATATGTGCATGGACTGCCACTTGTGATCAAGCGTACATATTCATACAAACATGACAATTATACCAAGATCTCAAATTTCCACTGTATGAATAACACTGTTTGTTAAATAAGTTGATTGAAGACCTTGATAAAATTAAAGGTAAATAAATCTAACTGTAGGAGAGGTGCTGTAGATCGTTGAAGAGTTCGAATTGGTGAATTGCATGCTAATAATAATAAACGCGTCACTAACACATTTGGAGTATTCATTTGATTGTTTAATAGCTTGTTTAAACGCTTTGTTTAAAAAAACCCTATAAAAATATTTTCCATAATTGGAACCAGTGTAATTCCTACTACTGCATCATAGAACTGATGGTATATGGTGTTACTGAACTGGGACTCAACATCTTTTATGCACGTAAGCAGACGTTTTTCGAATTCTGACACTGATAAAGGTAGGGTATCAGAATTATGCCAAGTTATATTAGTAGTTTCAAGAATTGGTATTACAGAGAACAAGGATGGACTTACTAGCAACATTCATACGATTTAGTCCGTCAGCAAATCGGAATGAATCTTCTAACATAAATGATGCTAATCTCTGACAGGCTGGTTCTAGGTTATCTGTTAACCAGAGTGGGACTGTGATACAGTGAATCGATCATTAAAAGGACAGGTCTAAGGGGGGGGGGAGACATGTTTGTGTACCTCAAGTGGACCATGTATTTATGGCAGACATGAACACCATGGTCTTAGATCATTGTAAGTAAAATCAGCATCCATTTTTCTTTTTAGAAGTTCTCTATTCATGCCTGTGATTCATTTTTTTTAAGCAGTTAAATCTTTGTTGAATTTGTCTACCATTAATCTCAATCGGTTGTTTAGGATTGACTTAATCTTAGTGATATAATCAGCTTTGTTCATTCGAATGACACTTAAACCTTTATCTGATTGTAAGATCATTACCTCGTCATTCTGTTTAATGTTTCTTACAGCTGTCAGATGTTTTTTTGGATCAAATATTGGACTTTGATGTCGATGAAATGAAATATTGGTCAGCAACGTGAAGTAACTCAGATTTGAACCATCCCTTCTCTTCATCATTCATTAGATGCAAATCTTCTAACTGGTCAAATAAATTTTCGAATTGAGCTTCCCCATCAATCGTGTTAGTACTTGTTTTTGGTATGTAAAATCCTAGTCCCAATGGTCACGCTTCTGCTTCTGTGTTATTAAGCTTCATAACTGATAATTTATAAATAAACTTCGAAGGGTTTTCTGAAAACCCTAAATATAGTTGTTTTTTTATTGTTTTAATTACTGTTCTATGTGTTGTAGGTTGTAAGCAACTGATGAGGATCAAAAGAAATGAAATGACTCCACGGTATTTTGCTAAAGTCTTCGTTCTTATTATTGTTTATTTGGGTTTTATGTGAGGATTATTTCCATTTCAAGACAGCTCCCATATCTTCAGTCACAAACCCTTGGGAACTGTGAAGAACTTCTGATCGACATTATCCTCTTGTTTGAAATTATTACTGCAATCTTCCGGAGGTTGCCTCGAGGGGTTCGGTGGTTAGGTTCCGGTAGGATATTTGTGTTGAAGTGACTTAGCGTACTTACTATGTTTTTTGCTGGCATCAGATGACCTCTTATAATACTGTAGCCTATGACCTCAAGTGTCACAGCCTATCCTCGTAAGATGTATTCCCCAGCCATATTGTCAACGTTTTTTTTAGCAAATTCTATATCTATTTTAAGAGATTTATATCCTCTTAGGAGAAGGGTTCAACAATATTATGAACTTGGGGGGTGAGGCTGCATGTGCTTCTAAAATACTTCTGGAAACACAACTGGAGTAGTAGCACCAAATTCTCTCTATACAAAATGAAGAGTTCTGCTTACTTTGGGTGAACCCCTTGTGTAGTTTGTGCATGTGTCCAAGTCCTTTGTAGTTCATAGTTCTAGATCGCACTATGTGGAGATAATTCTGATATTATCACAGAGAACATAAGTTGTTCGTATCTTATAGGGCTGAACGTTTACAAAGCGGTATTTCGATAAGTTAAATGTTAACGCATTTTTCGCTTCTCATCTCCTTATTGTTGAAAGGTTCTGTCCTAGGTTTAGTAGATCCTATTTACTCTTTATGGATTTCCATATCTTGGCATCATCAGTATAGATTAGGGTCGGCTGGTTAGTTTTATCTTGGGAGCCAGGAAGGGGAACAGTCCTAAAACGGTTCTTGGTAAAAATCCTGGTTCTAAGGCTCTCCAACTTGCATGCATTCTGTTTTGTTTGATACGAAGCACCAGATCGTCTAGGTAGTTTGGGAGCCAATACAGAAGTGTCACTGAAATCAATCCTCTTGGAATGGCACACTGTCGTACGAAGTGGATTTTGTCACGTTCGGGTTACTTACTTGGGATCAGAGACTTCAGACTCGCTGATGCTTCACAGACCACAAGGCGATACTAAAGTATAAAGAGTCCCTTGCTTATATTTTCATGTTCGACTGTATAGCGAGATGGCCGTTGAAGATTTTGGTCGTTTCTAAGTTTATAAAATTTCCATCGTCCACGGGGACCCTGGTTTTTAGGTTTCCACTTCATGACAAACCAACTGAGATATTTTGTGTTGATTTGTATTTCAGAAGCCAGTTTGGTCTGTAAGTATCCACTGTTGCTATTATCTTTATCAGTGTAAATATTTCGCAATGTCAAATAAGAGCTATGGCCGTAAAGCTTTAGGGAAACTTTCCAAGTATCCTATACTCATTTTTGGCCTACACTGTAAGATCCATTTTGAGTGTTTTGTGTGTTGGTGAAAATCCCTTCATGTATATACTTGTACTTTGTTCCTATGGATCCCCTTAATTGTACATCGTTGTCTTTTGATTACGTTTGAATTGTTAATACTTGTATTTTTTATTATAGTTTTTGTTTTTCTTACGTATTCACTAAGTTGTGTTTCTTCCCGAACTGCATCTGTGTTGTTTTACTTGACACTTGTTCTTGGCGGTAGCCATATCGATTTGCTCCTCCTTTTGTGTGTGTTCTATCCAGTCAGGATAGAATAACGTTCATTTGTTGTGACTGGTAATTTTCCCTCATCTTTCATCAACTCCTTTATTTATTGTAATTTAGATTTTATTGATTGAACAATTATTGGTTGAATAGCCGGGTGGTAATATTTGTTTAGGTAACGATTTACATTTAAATTTATGATGAATTATAGAACCGCTATTTACCCGATTACTTGCTTTGATTTCGACGGGCAAGGGCGTGTGTCTAACGTACCTGGACGGTTATTCCTCAACATCCAAACCGTAGTTTGGTTTCTACATACACCAATTGCTTTTTTCTTATATCCAGTCAGGATGCTCTATTTAGAGAGACGTTTTGGAACCGAATGAAATTATACAGGATAGTTTCCCACGTAATACTCTTCACAATATCTTGGTAGTCGTCCACCGTTAGCTCTACCACTTTTGTTGCCACGGGACGCATTAACAATACTTTATCATAGCTACGCAGTCTTTTCAACTGTAGCAAAAGCATGTAGCATTCTCTTCCCTCTAGGGTACTATGATAATTAGAAGTATCCAAATTAATAGTTGAATTTGAGGCAGGTAAGAATAGATGGGCACAAATGAATGTCTTATGTTTGAAATTCACAATGAGCGGGCAATCAAGTACAAAGGAATCATCAATTAGTACAAATAGCACAACCAACACAGCCTAAATGGGAATCCAAACTTCTGGGATCGGATGTACTTCTCCTTAGGTTTACCATGTGTCTGTTCAACTGTGTATTGGATGTAGACTTTGTGTGATCTGGAACTTACTTATTAGTATTAGAATTAACAGCCGAAAGTGCAACGGGCTTACCTGGGTCCTTATAACATATTCGGTCGTTGTGACCGCTTTACACATGAAACATGGTTTTATTGATCTGTTTTACCATATCTTTAGTAGATCGTGGGAAAGACGTTCTTTTGAGAGCTTTATTGCCTAATCAAGTTGATCAATGTTTATTTTGCTTACGGTCTGGTAATTCTGTACCAAGTGGCTTTATTTCCTCTCCACTATAAGTCTCTGAATTTTGCAGCGGTAATAGAATCGATGTTTGTTTTCGAGGCATAAGAGGATAAGTGGGCTTTGGAGTCGTGTGTGATTCTTCGCACTTCGGTTCCGTAGTTAACAGATTATCAAACACTTCATTACAACCGTCTTCAGTGGTTATTAAGGAAAACTCTTTCTGAATCATTTATGGATTTTTCAGGATCAGGATAGATGGTCCATAATCATTGATGAAAAATTGACGAGTTAGGATTGAAAACTTACAGTCTAATGGAAAAATTACAACATCCCAGGATAGAACGTTTATGACCAATAATATTCGAAGTATAAACTGTGCTAGGCTTAATTATAGCATCGGGATTTAATTATTTGAACTTTCCAATTTAACTGATGGACATGATAATCTCACTGTTAACAATAAAATGGTAAAAACCATCATTAGACGGACATAGTCGTTTTTGAATATGAGGTGAAGTACTCAAGTTGTGAATAAGGATAATATATCGTTGTTAGAATCGTCCAAATTAATAAGACCCGAACTACGAAGTTTAGTATTACTAGCGGCAAAATAAACAGTCGTTTTATAAATCGAGTGGATGTGTTCCGTTTTACCAAACTTATCTCATTTGACACGAAATACAAATAAATTACGTAAGTGAAATTTACCACATGATGAATGTTTATCAAACCTTTGCTCACCTCTGTAACTTGCATTGCAGCTCCCCAATGAACCATTATCTACATGATTTTGGACACGCATTAAAATTTATATATATATATATATATAATACTAGCGCAACTCCGTCTGTAGCTGTTTTAGGTTTACTGCCGGTCCCAAGACAAAGGAGGGGGTTAAGAATGGGATTTGGCAACATTATGCCATAGAAAACAACCTTGTCAGAATGCTAACCGGAGAAAAACACTCAAAATTATTCAAACTCTATCCCGAGATTTGAGGGAGCTTCATTTAGGAGGGTTATGACTCCTCATGATGAAAGCCAAGGTTTTTCAGAAATCTGGAGACTGGTGCTTCTTCTGACAGCATGAGCAACAATTAATATAGGTACACGAGACGTCCAGACAATGTGGGAGACCGGAAGGACTAATTAAATAGCTACGTAAATGAGTAAATACAACTTGACAGTGCTTGGAATTAGTGAAACGCATTGAATTCTTGTTGGACAGAAAAGGTTAGATTGATGAGCGATTCTGTTGTGGTCTGATCACGAAGAAGAAAATGCTCCGCACACGCAGACAGTTGCATTGATGTTTTCTAAGGAAGTACGTGGGGCACTTATAGGGTTGTAATCTTGTGGATCCAGAATCTTAAAAGCATTCTTAATAACGAAGAGGGGATCTTCATTACGAACGTCAAAAGAAGTTAGTTCCATTGTATGGAGCTGAAACTTCGAGAACTTCCACAACCATCAGCAAGAAAGTACAAGTATTTATAAACAGTTTTCTACGCAAGGCACTGAATACCCATTGATTGGATGTCATCAAGGACGGCCTACTATCAGAGAGAACATACGAGTTAACAGCTCAAGAGGAAACTACGAAGCGACATCGAAAGTGGGTAGGACATACATTACGAAAATCATCAAACTGTATCACGAAGCTAGCACTAACATGGAATCCTGATCGGAAAAGGAAAAGAGGAGGACCAAAGAACACCTTACGTCGGCAATCAGGACCACACTTCAGAAGGATGAATGGCAAGTGGAAACAGCTGTAAAGGATTGTCCACGATAGAGTTCGATGGAGACTGCTGATGGGTAAGTTTCAAACCCATATGATGGGTCTGATACTACTAGTGTCGACAATAATGTCAGATAAGTCGCCAATTGACAAATAAAATCGTTTTTAAATGTGAAGTGAACTACTGGTAGCTGTAAATAGGAATAATATATGATTATAAGAATCACGCAAATTAATAGTATCCAAAATTTGAAGTTTGATATTAGTTGCGGTGAAATGACCAGTGGTTTTACAAACCGACTTGGTG